TTTCATTATTAATATCATAGATCTTTTATTAAATTTATTAATCTCATTGATACCATTTAATGGTATCTTTTATTTGTGTTAAACAAATGAATACAAAACTAATAAAATCTTAAGTATGGTTTCATATATATAAATGAATATATATATATTTATATTTATTCATGTAACCTCTAGTCATAAGACTGATGGTTTTCTAGGACCCCCAAAATTCCATTACATCAGGACTGCCAGTTAGGCTTTTCCCCAACAATAACCACTATTTGGTGTCTAACAAATTATATTTTCTCCTGATATTTCATTTTGTAATGTAATGCCTGGTAAAGTTCCCAGTCCTCCCCTTCCCACCTCAATGCAGGTTTTCAGCTTCGTTCCTTACATCATTCATCTACCCATAGATCTGTTCTCCTTCTTTAGAAACTTTCTGCTTAGGTATTTTGAATCCAGGTATGATCCCTGTCAAAGCTCACTAAATTTATTGAGTGGAAAAATCAGCCACTTGTTTGAATACCCCCCCACTGCATACAAACAAACAAACAAACAAACAAACAGTTTTTTGTTTCTTTGTCACCAGCCAGAGTCTTCCACAGCAGAAAGCCCAGAGATTTCCTTCTACTCACACTCACAACTCACAAATCCTGCCATGGTAAAAAGTATTTTTGACTCCTATTCCTGTGATTACTCCTCACAGGACTCTTCAAGGCCCAGATAAGTATATTCAATTTATGTCCATATGTGCACTCTCCACACCCAGTTTCCTGGCATTTGCCATAAGTTATTCCATTGCCCTCAGGAGAAGTTCTATACTAATTTTTTTTTATTTTTTTTTATTTTTTGAGACAGGATTTCTCTGTGTAGCCCTGGCTGTCCTGGACTTGCTTTGTAAACAAGGCTGACAGTGAACTCTCAAAGACTGGCCTACCTCTGCCTCCTGGAGTGCTGTGAGTAATTACAGGATTGTGCCACCATGCCCAGTAAAGAAGTTCTGCACTTTTGAATATCATTTTACATTTGGAAATAGTGAGATCAAAAGGACCATTTTGCTTTATGGGCTTACAATTTAATAGGGCAATTAAGTATATAGAAATATAGAAAATTATTTGCATAATTATTAAAATAATTGGGACAGGAGCAATGGCTCAGTGGTGATGAACACAGAGAGCTCTGCCTGAAGACCCAGGTTCAGTTCCTAGGCAGCTCAAAAACATCTGTAACTCCCATTTCAGTGGATTTGATGCCCTCTTTGGGCCTCTACAGCCACTATGCACAAGTGGGGCATAGGCATACATTCAGGCACAACACCAATACACACAAAATAACAATGAAGTAATTATGTTTTCATTTAAAATGAATATAAATTATTATGAGAGTTTATGGAACTATTGTTTTTTTTTCCCGAAATTGTTCAGTAGTAGGGTTTCATGGAAATATTTGAACTGAGTTTAAGGCCAAAGGAATCTCTAACACAAAAGTGGTGAGTGATTATATTCAGGCAAAAGAAATGCTGTGAGCCAAGAAACTAAATCCATAATGACAAAATCACAGAGACATCAAAACTGAATTGTACCCTTGTCATGTGGGGTCAACTAAGAAATTGTTTCTTCCGAATTCACTCACTTTTGCCATAGGAACATTTACCCTCCAAAAGTTCACAGAAAACACATAACTTGGTTGATTTTCCAAGGGCTTACAGACAATTTTTCTTTCAGCGTTTATGGACATTTCTTTTATTTGAAGATTGCTATAAAGGTTGGGACTTGAGACTCTTGGAGACTGGAGACATAATGAATGTATTTTCATCATAAGAAAAATGGAAGCTTTTTTGGGAACCAGGGAAAGAATGTTATAGTTTGGATATAAAATGTCCACTCATGCCTTAAAGGCTTAGTCCCTGACCAATGAATTTCAACCATTGCGAGGTGATTGGATCCTGAAAGCTGTCACCTAATCAATAGAATAATAAACTGATTAATTCATAATTTAAGGTTATAATTGGGAAGTTATAGGTGTTTTCAAAAGTGGGACCTATTTGCAGGAGAAAGTCACTGCGTCACTAGGGAAATGTGTGTGTGTCTTGTGGGATATTCTCTGTGTGTGTCTCTGCCTCTCTCTGTGTATGTCTCTATCTCTCTGTCTCTGTGTCTCTGTCTCTGGCTTTCTGGCATGTCTCTCTCTCTGTCTCTCTCTTTCTCCTTCTATTTCTCCCTCTCCTTCTTCTATTCAATACTAGGTGACCAAATTTCCTACACTAGGATGCTGCTTCCTTGCAAAGGGCCTGAAAGCAAGGAAGTCAGCTGACTTTGGACTATGCTCTCCAAAACCAAAAAACAGTTACTCCTCTTCAGTCACTTTGACAGACATTCCTCAAAATGATGGAGGTCATCCTAACATGGTGTGTTTCAGGCCTGTCTTATGAGAGGGTTCATGGAAGTGCAAGGGTTTACACATTTTAGGGAATGTGGGGAAGAGACTCTGCTGCTTTGGCCAGTGAAGAAGGTGATCCAGTGATTCTTAATGCCTCCTTATGTTTTGCAATCTCTTCCATGACACAGATCAGTAGTATGCTCTTCGAAATTTAGAAAAGCAGAAGAACACAAAATAAATTTATTATGAATGAAATGGATTTTCACATATTGTCAGATAAATGTAACTTTGTTCCCTGGACATTGGTGGTGGTGGTGATGGTGTCAGCAGTATCTTCCTTCTCCCAGTAAGGTAGATTGAGTCAGAGATAAGAGAATTTCAATTGTTTCTGTCTGAAAAACGTCTGGAGATACTTCATATCTGAACCCCACAGTCTATGCAAGGACTTGCCAGAGCCTACCTAAGACATTAAAGACCTGCTTTCCCGTAGGCTTGGATGACAACAGGCCCCAGAGTTCTGTTAAGAAGGATGTCTTCCTGTTCCTTAGGGATATTATGTCAGGGGTGTGGAGGTACAGATTAAGACCTCAGAAATTAAATCAGGTTTTTTAGGCTTATAAACACTCACTTTTAGGTTCCTGGTTAATGTCTGTATTCACTGTTTAGTATTTCACTTGGAAATATCAGCCTCAATAATGATTTTTAAAGGAAGTGGAAGAAGTGGTCATTAATTCCTTTTTAAGCCAGTATGTTTGATGAGGAAGTAACTTATTATTAGCATTACTAATGACATAGATTAAATTTGTCATAAGTGATCAAATCTCTAGAGAAAAGGGTATAGCTCAAAGGAGGAAAATCTGTGTTTAGTTATACCTTTAAAAATTAAAAACATTTTTATTTATTTTATGTGTATGGGTATTTTACATGTATGGCTCTGTAGCAGGAGCATACATGGTGCCCTCAGAGGTCAGAAGAGAGGATTAGATCCCCTGGGACTAGAGTTCCAATAGATGGTTGTGGGTCACCATGTGGGTATCGGGAATTGAACCTGGGTTCTCAGGAAGAACAGGTAGTACTCTTAGCCACTGAACCATTTCTCCAGCCCCTACCTTATTCCCTTTAATTTTCTGTTTCTCAAGGACTTAAGTCTTTTTCAAGCAGGTGGTATTCAGCTTCTTTTTAATATAAGCAACTTACGCCGAAGCAAAGAAAATTATAACATCAGGTGTAAAAGTGGGACATCTTTCACACACACACACACACACACACACACACACACACACACACACACACCCCTTTCTTTGTAAGAAAACATCTCTGACTTCCCAAGAGTCGACTTAGGCTCAGGGTAGGTTATCTCATGCTAGTTTGAAAATCCAGCATGGGAAGAGTGGATTATTTTTTTCAGTTTTTACCATATAGAGAAAATACTTACTGTTTCCTTTATTTCTGTTACATATGGTCACTGGTTGCTCTATACTTGAAGTCATGTAGTACAGGTTCTCTTACAGAAATTTTTCCAGTGCAATTATCCAGAAAATGACAAGAAAACTCACAAAGCACCAGAATGACTATCAGAAGACATGCTCAAGACTCATCACTTCCAAACAGCTTATCTATTGCAATTTGTTTAATCTAGATCAGGAGGCCTGTAGAGCTCAGTTGGCTGCTCATATTTGTAATTGGCTGATAATATAAATTTGCATATTTTAATTTTATCTGTTACTCTGGGGAAGAGTAGATTACTAAGTTCAAATTAGACTAATAAACAAGTGAGTGAATGAGTATGAGTGAGTTAAAGAATAAAGGAATAGACAACAATTTAGAAATCAGTTGCACCTGTTTGTAGAATTCTTTGCTGCATTCTGGTCACCTGTATCTTTTTTGTCTGTCTTTGCAGAATAACAACTTCCAAGTATTAAAACCTACATTCACTAGATGTGTAGAATTTCTAATCAGGGCTAACGGTTTTCTTTTCCCTTTGTTCTTCCATAGATGAGGTTAGTCAAGCAAGTCTCTCATAAGTTTAAGAGACCAGGCCCTGGGCTTATTTTCCTCACTTCTGCAGCTGAGATGTGTCAGGATACATACTCCCCATATTGTTGGCTACCAGAAATTAACTGTGCTTATAGCGGTGGCTTCCCAAACTCCCAGGGACATGTACTTACACACTCACCCCCTGAAATGTGATAACGAATGGATCACAGAATGAGCCTGGCAGCCCAGGACACAATCACAGTTATTAGTACGTGAAGCACATGTTTATTAGTGGGGTAAATAGGCGACCAGTTTAGAAAGGATTGTAGGGAAAGCGATTGAGACATCAGCTCTGGCTAGAGCTCTAGAAGAAGCCTGATACACTGTTGTTTTGTAATTGGAATGGATAAGGCCATAATTATGATCAATAAAGACACTGGAGAGGCTGAATTTTCTCTCCTGGGCACTTGGGAGACATCATATAGAAGAAGCCTTGGAGGAAAACAAAGAATGCATATAATAAGGAGTTTGATGTGGGGTCTTACAATGCTGCTTCATTGGACATAGGTAGAAGGATGGGAAATCTTGGAGCCAGTGGGAATAGGAGCAGGAGGAATGCAAGGCTCCAGCTAGTGGCCTGGGTGGTGGTTTCCAGTCCATCCTTACTTCTGTTTACACTTAGTAACTTGCTGGGCAGAAGGACACTTGTGCTGAGCTGGGTTAGCAGTGCTCTTCTCTGGGCATTGTTTCTTGGCCTGAGGAGTACATGGATCCTTGGTTTTGGGAACACATGCCTCTTGACATTGGGTAGGAGGTGGCTGACAGGGCTGCTTCACCTGCTGCTGCTGGGCTTGAGGCACGCACTGCTGCTGCTGATGGGAAGGCATGATTCAGGAGCAGGTGAGTCTGGAGGAGACCTACGAAGACATCATGAGAAGGGTCCCATGCGTACCCTCCCATCTGTGTCATCAAGGAGTACTTTCCTCCAGGACCCAAAGAGAATTAACAGCATCAGGTAATGAACGGCTCATATGCTTCCACTGTGATATTCCTCTATCACTCTCTTCCTTATGTGTTATTCTGAGTTCCTATCATTCTTCATCTTCCCATGGACTCTGGACTTAACTGAATACACGACTGATTTATTGGTTTTACCAAAAAGAAGGCAGAGTATTGAGTTCAAGAATAAAAAGCTGTTCAGTATTTTTACAAATTCAAGGTGTGGGTCTGGCTAATGCCAGTTGTCTAAGTTAGGTGATGCAGATACATGAGGATAATGAAAAGAACAGTGTCTGTTTCCAGGAAACAGTGTCAGGGGATGTAAACAATGGGTCTAGAAAATAGGTGAACATGTATTAGGGAGGCCTGGGTGCTAATCTCCACTCCATCTTAATATGCTAAGAAGAGTCATAGGATATGGCTGTGGGATTGAAGTTTCAGCCCTCCATGGAGAACCGGGGAACACTACGGCTCAGTGTTTTATCCAGAAAGAGTTTGGTTCTGAGAAAAGATTACTAGACTCAGGGATGAGCTCTAGATGCAAATCCATCACTAACTGGCCAGTCATACTTCCATGCTCTTAAAGGATGGTGAGTGTCTGGAAGTTCTCTGAGGCCTTCCATCTTAGATGGATGGATGTCCGGTTTTCTTTGCACTCAGCATTCCTCACCTTATAAATTAAAAATGAGGAGTATAGGTCCTAGATAGTAGAGCCGTGGAAAAGAAGAATAAGATATGGGGTGTCACAGCATGAAACACAGTAGTTTTGTGAATCTGAGAGCAAAGCTTTTGCTTTCTGGCATGGGCAACCAGCAGATGAGAGCGCGGACATGCTCTAGAGAAGACCCAGAGTCACTATGAAATGTCACAGCTCTATGTGCACTCGTTCCAACGAGAAAATCTTCCTCAAACAAGGAAATAAGTCACACCTATCTGTAGGATAATGTTTCCTAGGTGATAATTGCTATGATGTATAATTGTCATGAGGCTAAGTCACTTTTCTAGTTACCCAAGGACAGGAGAGGAACTTGGCCTTGCAGCTCAAGGTAGGAGAAGAAAGAAAGGACCCGGGAGTACAGAGGCATCCCTACTTACCAGAGGCTTCGAGCTGGACCCCAGATGAGAAGGCTGAGAGGAGATCCATATGCAGCCACTCCTGGAAAGCTTATAAGGGGCCCCAACCTGCCCCAGGCCCTTGGTGTGGCTCTGATAATCACCTCCCAGGCAATTCCTCGCCCACTTCTCCCACCTGCACTTCCTACAGAGACTGGCTTTACTGGCCTCTTTTGATTAAAAAAAAAAAAAAAAAAGCAACAACAACAAAAACCCACCCACCTGATGTTTCCAACACTCTGGATCTCCATAGCTGAGCTAACTTAAAGGTGCTGGCTTGAACTGAAATAGTCAATATATATATATCCATATATCATACATATATAATATGTATAATATGTATGTATATGGGTGTGTTTTTCCATATGTATGAATGTTTTCCCTGCATATATGTCTGCCTGGTGACCATGGCAATGGATCCCCTAGGACTGGGATCACAGAGAGTTGATCTGCTCTGTGGGTACTGGGAACAAAACCTATGTCATCCAAAAGAGTCAGCAGTTGTCTTAACTGTCTGAGATTCGCTATGTGGCTACTGAGAGCAGAGCCCGGGTCCTCTGGAAGAAGTGTTGGCACTCTTAACTAGCTCAACATGTGGTATTTAAGACCTAAACACATAGAAAATGTGAGAAATTGTAGACTGAACAGTCTAATAAATGTCGAGGATGATGACATGGAGGATGAGATAGGTTTGGGGGACAATTGTGACAAAAATATGAACATTTCCTTTCCTGCTAATTGCTGCTGTTTGTGAAACATCATCTTGCCTAGTCATGAGACCATTATTATTTCATTTCATGTTTATAATCCCTCTAGTCTAGACAAATGCAATTGTCACTATCTTGCAGATGGGGATGAGAAACATTATACGGGTAGCAGGTGGTAAAGACAGGATTTGAACTCAGGTCTGAGTGACACAAAGAACTTTGATTTTTACATATTAAAGAGAGAGAAGAACCCTAGCCACAGATGGCATCCATCCCTCTCTTTTCTTGAATTTCAAGCTCAGGTGTTTCCAGACCCAGGGAGGCTATTTGCCTGCAACCTGAGCCCTCCCCTGTAACCTGAGTCACAGAAGGTAAGAGCCATGCTGACAGTATTGCTCCTCCCTTCCACCAGCCATCCGGATGTGGCTGTTCAGGGGTGTTAGTAATAGCCTCACAGGGAGGGAGAGCTTGATCCCTGCGGTAGGCTTGTCCCACAAAATATAAAGTCCATTTTCATGTCAGAATCTTCTAGAGTATGTCTTCCATATAGTATGAGATATGCTAAAATTATTGTTTATCTGGAGAATAAATTTCACTCGACTCTCTATTTCTTTTTTGATAAAGGCAGCAATCCTTAGGAACCTTTTCAGGTGAGAGAGGAGAGCTGGTCCTCCACTTGACCATCACACTTGAATGAAGCAGGGTTGTTGTGGTTGATGATCCCACCCCTGCAGTTTAGTCATCCCAAGCTTTAGGTTTCTCCTCAAGACACATCCCTTGGTGTTCTCCCTATGCCCAGGTGAAGTAAAAAGCTGTCTGATGAGCGATAGGAGCACCACAACCGCTTTGTTAAGTAATTCCCAAATCCTTTTGCTTCACTTAATCCTCATGACAATTCAGTTATGTCATGAAAATCTGATTTTACAGTTCAAAGAAACCGTCTCAAATAAGTTAAATGCCCTGCTTAACAACCTCAGCTAGTAGGGGTGGGGCCAGGTGGGAGCCTAGTCCAGGCTTCCACTACACCACAGCAGCCAACATCTCTGCAGGGGACCAATGACTGTTCTCATGTGAGGACCATGATAAATGAATTTTTCTGAGCTTAGCATCACATGAAAACAAAAGAGTGCTTATAGCTCAACTTTATTTTGAAGTTAACTCTTCTCTTAATTTGTCTTTCCAGGCCAGGTCTTCACTTCCTCCTCCTCGCCAGGCTATCAGTGTTAAGAATGTGATATTCTGGGTTCCAGATTCCAGTCACTACATTCCATTTTCAACCCCCTTACTTTGCTTCCCAGCTTCCTCTGCACTCTTTGCTTCAACCCTCCCACCCTTCTGTGCTCTTCCTGATGTAAACTTCATGAAAAATATACACCAGGAGGCATTTGGCAGGATCATAGCTCAAGGAATATCCACAAACCTGGCACCTTCAAGGCTTGATTGTGTATATGTGCATTGTGTGTGTGCGTGCACACATAGTCTGTATAATATTCACCCACAGGACTCCTTATAGTGGGCTTTATCATTCCCATCCTATCATTTGCCTTCTTATCCATAAACAAATTGGTTAATTATTGTCAAATTTTGTCTAGTGATAGCAGCTTGGCTTGTAACACAACCATCATCTCAGAGGCTACCCAGGGGAGACAGGAGTCTAAATTCGATAGCTTCAAAGGGGCACATCTGATACATCATAACGATCCAAGCCACCGTCCACCCCGTATGCATTTAACGTGTTACACCTTTCTGAACCTTGGCATTTGGCTCCCTTATTAGCTGGATTATCTCAATACTGCAGAGAGGAAAACTGAGATTTAGAAGGAGGACATGCTCTGCCCAAGGTCACACAAAGTTTAGTGGGAAAGCCAGGGTTGGATCATAGGTTTTCTGAGTTCACGGCTGTCTTCATCTGTTGAATGACTGAGCCCCTATAACCAGCACAGCAGAGGGTTCGTTGAGAAAAATCAGAAAGCAGATCTGGTGGGCCCTGCCTCTTCTTGCCCCAGTCTCTCCTGGCTTCTTCTCTGGCACTCATGGGTTCAACTCATCAAGTCTGTCATTTCCCTTCCTCAAAAAGACCCTAACTAATTCTTGTCCCTGCACTGAGAGGTATAGATATATTTTCTCAATCATTAAGCCTAAAGCGCTTCCATACAAAGTGCTCCCAAGTCTATGAGGAAAGATAATTTTGTTCTATACTTTGTAGATGAGAAAATTGTGTTTCTCATGGTCCTGAGTCCTTCCAGGATAGCTGATCCAAATCTTCAAAAGTTGCCATGACTGGTTTCTTAACACACTAACCTGCCGGGGCAGTGGATTATTTTCTCAAAGGAGGAGGGGAGACTCCCTGGCACCCCAGGAAATCACCCCATGTAATCAAACCCCTCCAGGCAGGGCAGGCCCTGAGAAGCTGTGCAATGTCAACTCTTCCTCCCAGCTCTACTCCCACTGGCCCAGTCTAACCATGAGACTGTCATGTGGCCCATCCAGAGTCTTACACCTGCTCTCAACTAAGTACCACACATGAACCTAGGAAGTGAGGTCCTGTTTCTAACAGCTCTAAGGAGCAGGTAACTGGGAACAGGTGTGTGCTTATGACTCTGTCAGGGAGGTGAGGATATAAGTAAGACTCATTTTTTAAGGTGAGTCAAAACTTGAGAAACTCCAGCCCCACCCTGCAGGTGAACAATGGGGCAGCCGGGGAACAGAGACTTTGGCATGGGAGCCTTGTGAAGAGATGCCAGCCATTTTACCCTCCATTCAAAGGCATCTCCAGTTTGACTCAGGGCTTATGGGTAAAACTGTTGTTGGGGCCCCATACAGAGGAAAGTGGACTATATTCATTAAGCTTTTTCCAAAAATGAGACAGGAGCAATAAAAAGCTCCTGGTCATAATGTGTTCTTTCCAGAAATGCTTGGCAGATGACAGTGGCAGGTGGAGGAGATACAGTTCCTCCATTTCAGCTGTCTTCCCAATACAGTCAAAATTTAAACTTGAGCAAGTGACAACTCATCTTCACCATCACAACCATGTCACACTTGCTCTATCTTAATTTCTGGTTGACACG